GCCCCAGCTTGGGGAGGGGAGTGGGGGCTAGTGGTGAGAGCAGGGGGGTTGGGAGCCAGGACTCCTGGGTTCTATCCCGGCTCGGGGAGGGGAGTGGGGGCTAGTGGTTAGCGCTCTCTGACTCTCCTGTTTCTTTTCCAGGGAACTGAGCAGTTTCATCCAGTCCAGTCACTGCACAGCAGGTGCTGCCCACGTACACTTGGAGGGAGGGGTGGCGCTGGGCATCGGCGCCTTTAATCTGGTGAGTTACTACTGAAGGGGGTGGGGAACGGGGCCTTTCCCCTCTAGGGGGCGCTGGCTCCTCCCTGGCCCCAGGGTGGGGAACGGGGCACGGGGCCTTTCCCCTCTAGGGGGCGCCGGCTCCTCCCTGGCCCCGGGGTGGGGGACTGGCTGACGGGAACGGGACACGGGGCCTTTCCCCTCTAGGGGGCGCCGGCTCCGATCTGCCCCGAGGGTGGGGGACTGGCTGACGGGAACGGGACACGGGGCCTTTCCCCTCTAGGAGGCGCCGGCTCCGATCTGCCCCGAGGGTGGGGGACTGGCTGACGGGAACGGGACACAGGGCTTTTCATTCCTCTCTTCCCTCCCCAGACGCTCTCTCTCTTCCCTCCGCGGATCCTGAAGCTGCTGGAATTCGCTGGGTTTTCGGGGGACAAGGTAACCCCCTGCCTGGGGTTCCCGTCATCCCTTGCAAGGAGGGGCTGCCCCGCTCAGTCTGCAGGTCCCCACGATGGGGGTTCCCCTGGTCACTGCTGAGAAGGGGGGCTCTGTGGGGGTTCCTGCCAGGGGAGAGGGTCTGGGGGGCTAGCTGCGGTGTGTCTGGGGGGCAGGAATTGGGGTATGGGCCTTCCCTCCGTCCCCACCCCCATTGCAGCCAGAGCCCCACAGACTGAGGCTGTGCAGTGCCCCTCAGCCAGAGGGAGACGCTGACCCCCACGCCCCCAGCTCTCGGGGCTGTGTTTGGGGGGGCAGGCAGTGAGCATCTGCCTGCTCCCCCCAGCTCTTGCTGGCCTGGTGGACTGCAGCTGCCCCCAGAGGGCGCCTCGCCCTGCCGTTGTGGGTGGCAGTGGCAGGCTGCGCCGCCCCAGAGGTGGCCGCATCAGGCGGCGCGTTGGGACTCTGTAAGGGCGAGGGCCCCCAATGGCCCCCCCCACTCTGCTGTGTCTCTCTGCCCAGGAGTACGGGCTGCAGCAGCTGCACGAGGGAGCGACCACGTTGAACCTGCGGGCCCTGCTCTGCACCATGCTGCTCCTCTGTTACTACACCTTCCTCACCTTCATCCTGGGTAGGCCTGCGGCTCGCCGGGGCGGGCGGGGGCGGGACTGGCTGGCTCGGGGGGGCAGGGGACGGGGCCTTTCCCCCCCAGGGGGCGCCAGCTCTGATCCGGCCCCCCGTTCCCATTCAGGGGGTCCCCGATCTCTCTCAGACCCGGGAGCGGGGGCTTCGCCCCAGGCTCACCCCTCCTTGCACCCTCGCAGGGATCGGGGAGGACGATTTCACGGAAGCCGAGAGCCTGCTGAGACCCTACCTCCTTCGCTACCCCAAGGTACGGGGCCGGGCGGCGGGGCCCTTCCCCCTGCGGGGTGGGAGGGCCGGGAGGGGGTCTGTCCTCACTGGGGAGAATTGGGGCTGCCCCAGGTGCCCACGCTCTGGCCTCCTGACGGGTTTTGCTGCCCCGGCTAAAACTAGGGAGTGGAAAGAACTGGGCTCCCCTCACCCCAACCGGTGCCCCTCACTCCCGACTCGCAGCCCCCCGTATCGCGATTGCTGTATGGAGGCGTGTGGGACCCCCCCCGATCACTGGGCTGAGACCCCCCCCAACTCGCTTCCTGAGTGATCCCGGCATCTCCCATGCTTTGCCCCTCTTCAGGGACCCTGCCCCCCACCCATCGGCTCCCTTCTCTCCCCTCTGCAGAGCGCCATCTTCCTCTTCTTCGCTGGCAGGATAGAGGAGATCAAAGGGAACATCAGTGAGGTAAGAGACCCCTCGCCTGGGGGACCCCCTCACAGAGCCAGGCTATGGGACAGGAGGTATCCTG